CTTCAATACAAGGAGAACAACACAGAAGTACGACTCGCTTGCTCCGCTGTCGCCGACAAACGTTGTGTAGGAGGACTGCGGGACGCTCGTGTACCAGATTAACCCGTCGCCACACGAGGATCAGTGGCAATACGCGTGGAAAGGCGGGGCCAGCAAGGTCCTACGCAATACCAAGCACGTCTTCAAGGCCTACCTCTTCATGGTCTACCAGTACGAGCCACAGAAGGTGCTGCGTGTCATCGGTGTCGCTCAGTCGACGCCCTTCACGCTCTCATCGTACCGTCGCGCTTTAAGCAGCAGCGACCTTGGGGACCCCAACGACGGCAGTACGACTACATCATCTTCGGAAACATTCGGAGCTCTCGCTCACAAACTCTTCTTATCTAGCCACGATCCAGTATGACTCGATTGACGACGGCTACCGTCTTGAGTTCTTAAAATGTGCGTGCACAAGTGAGACGACATTCAAGGACACCTACATTCGGTGCGCCGTGGAATATCTATTGTTGTTTCTCATTCTTGTGGTAGTTGCAACAAGACGGAAGGGCGCAAAGTACCGTTCCACGCCTCCCCAACGTGCAAGGTGCTACCCAATACTCTGTAGGAGCTGCGCTGTTTCCCACACTGCTGCCCCGGACACCTCGTGCACTGCAGCTGTGGCGGGAAAATCTCGTTCGCTCTCGCAGGACCCCAGCTCAACAAAGTGCCCGCGTACTCGTTCGTAGCCTTTGCGCGCGTCGAACGCCTCAACGAGCCGGAGCTCAAAATGGGAGATGTCCGGTCGCACGCCAGTCTCACGGCCGAGCACGAGAGTGGCGGAGAGTGGGTCCCTGGCGTCCTCCTTCCGCCGTCCACATACTACCCCGTGCGTGTCATATTCCAAAGTCTAGTCGTGTACCTTGCTTCACCACCAATGCCTAGACGTCGCTCGTCTTCAACTTCAACGATGGCGTCAAGGTCGGCTGGCCGTACCACTGGACCGCCAGCGCGAGCAAGGAAAGCCGCAGCACGCGCCACGTGTGGCGTGTACGACGCGCTTCCGACTTTGATGTCCTTTACGTGTGGTCTTAGGGCTATATGTTTATGCGGCTACCGGGCGACGACAGCGCGTTCACTCAAGACTTGCGTGTGATTGCGTCAGTGCAGTCCCCGGCGTTCACTTTGCTCTCCTACCGGCGCAACAACGAGACGCGAACGTCGCGCACGAACCGCCGCATCATTGTCGAAGCGAAAACGGTCGCAGATGTGACGCCGATCGACGTATCGATGGTTGTACCTGCACTTATTCCACAAGACCCGTCGCCCAAGTCGATCGCGCACCCGCCGCTCCAGCGCCGGAGCTCGGCGATGCAGCTCATTTTGAACAATGACGATGAAAACATGGTACCGACGCAGGCCGATGGTGACACAACCAGCCCCGCAACGACACCTGTTGCGTCGGCAAGCATGCTGCGCCTAAAGAACATCATGAGCGACGACATCAAGAAGCCTAAGCGCCGTCGTGTGGTACTTTACCATTTTCGAAATGATACAATGGAGCTCATGATATCTTTGTGCCTAGGCTGACTGCTAAACCCTTTTTACTGTGGCTTCCTTGCCGACAAAGACGACGGTTTCTAGCATGTGTATATGTTGTAATTAATGCAGTATGATGGATGGACGATGGATCGCAATCTCTCTCGAACCATTGGATGGTCCCAATGACTACATGTACCACCAGTCCATTTGTTTAAGTGTAGACAGATATAGAAGTTGCGTGATAAACGACTTTACAGTTAGTTCGCACTGATCAATATAGGCCATTGTCGATGACTCTTCAAGCTCAAGGTCGATCGCGACGGCAACCTGCGATACAAGTGTGATCAAGGGCTTTGGGCGGATCTTTGGACTCGACTACGACGAGACGTACGAGTCGGTCATTCGCTTCGAGACCTTGCGCGCTATTCTGCTCTACGCGGTCTTGCGTGGATGGAAACTGCGTCAATACGATTTTTTCATGGCGTTTCTCAACGCCGCGCTCAAGAAGGGTCAACTCGTCTACATGGAGCAGCCGGAAGGCTTTACAAAGCACGTCCAGCGCCTCACATGTGGAACTCGATGTTCCTCGTGAGCCTCGGTTCAAGCGCAACTAGAAGGATCGCAGCCTCTACACGAAAACTGTGGGAGGAAATGGCAACCGCGATGTCGTTTTCGTTACGGTCTATGTTGACGACCTGCTCATCCTCGGCGACGACAAGCATACTACGCCGGTGATCAAGGCGCTCCTCGCCAAGTTCAAGATGATGCAGCTCGGCGACGTCCTATGCTCTATGGGCTGCAAATCGACTTGAGAGGACATGGCCGTCAGCGTTCTGTTTCAATGACGTTGATGCCGTGAATGTCAGGGCTATATCATATGGGGCTATACCAACTGGGGCTATACAAGAATTAATACTAAGTTTGTATCTAACCTTTCTGGACGTTCCGATGTTGCTCCAACGTATACTCTATTTAACGTTAACGTTACTATTGTGTATAAATTTTGACCACATGAAGGCAAATTAAAGACAAAAACACGTTAATTTGGTGTTTACAAGGTTTCGTAACCGGGGTTTCGCTTGCGCTTGATCACGATAATGACGGCAACGGCAGTAAGCGCGGCGGCGGCGCCAGCCCACACAAGCGGGTTGCTCATCGCGGTTGAGTCCTCCGAAGACGCGGTGATCGCAATCAAGTGCGACGGTGGGTTGGGCGAGCAGTCGAACGTCTTGCGGCCGGCCGTGCACTGGCACTTGGCACCGGGGCCCTGCGCACACCAGCCAAAGCCGCTGCAGGTTGGCGTAAGCCACCACATGCGACCATAACTGCCAACAGTCACCCAGCACGGGTCCACAGATGGGGCATGGAGCGCTTCCTTGGGCGCTTCCCCGTCGCACTTCGCGTGGTTCACACCCCGAATGGCCGGGAACTTAACGTTCTCGTAGTACGGCTTGGGGTTGCTCAGGCAGCCGGCGTCGTTGCCATCGGGGCC